TGAAAAGATGCATACATTTTGCTGTGGATGTGATCCAGGACAGCCATTAATCCCTCACTTGTTTGTAGGACAACCCAGTCAGTTCTGCAACATTCTTCATCTCCACCGGTGTGAGGTACCTCTGAACACTAAAGCGCTGGGCAAGAGCATTCATCTGACTCTCAGAGAAGGCAGAGCGGACCTTTCCTTTAGGGGTATTTACAGCAGAAGCCTTCTTTGGGACAATTAAGGGTGCATTTTGGGTATCGTTGGTGCACATGTTCCCATTGACAGGAACGGTTCCGGGCTCCTCCATGACAGAGCTGGAAACATCCTCTCTGGCATCAGGGCTCCTACAGATCGCTTCTTCCTCCAGCTCTTTCTTTGCCCATGTAGCAGGGTCAGCCTGGGGGACACTTCCTTCTCTGCTGCTCCCAGAATTCCAGGAATCTAAGAGAGGGGAACGGACATGGTGAGCAGGGTCAAAATTGTTCCGAGCATTTGTCAAAGCATCACATAATTGTATGCCCCAGTATCGTCTTGAGACCCAGCCATTCACTGGACCTCTGTGGGGGACATGACCCTAAGGATTATATTTAACTACATCATGCCAAATGCAGTTTTGCCCTAATTAACTGTGTATTGGAAAAGGCAGTTTTTTGGCATATGATCATACATTATGAAGTTTCTCTTTTTCATACCAGGCAGTTTTTTGGCATATGATCATACATTATGAAGTTTATCTTCTTCATTCCAGGTTATTAATGCACACCATAATATAAGCAATATTACATTAAATTATTTCGCTCAATAAAAGCATTAATAATGTAAAGGCCCTGTTGTCTGCTACAATGTATATAAATAAATGCAATAAATAAACACTTTTTGGTACTTTTTACATGTTTTTACTTTATTAAACTGAATAGTTAAATATTTGTTGGCATTTTCAAGTTCTGTCGCTAGATGTCGCCACTTGTTTCAGCGGGTAAAATCAGTGGCGCGATATTTGTGACTAAGAAACTAAACTAAGATGGAACTAAATTGTACTTCACGATCAACATTCGTGGAAGAAATTCTCGCTTTTTGCATCCATGGGGGAAATGTAAGAATAATAATTTTGTTTTAAAGTTGCATGCGAGTCAGTGATAGTCATTTACCTGGTGAGGTGTGAGTCTCCGAGTCACTGGCGGTGTCACTCCCGGCCCGCCTGACCTCATGTGGCCGGGCATCGTACTCAGGCCGGTGGGGTCCAGCAAGCAGCTGACGGCCTGCTTGGGAGTCGCCAAGGTAAACCGCCTCGGAGCCCTGGTAGTGACCGTGGCCGCTCATGGCGTGCTGCTCCGGGCTGCCGGGCGGAGACTCCTCTCGGGTCCGGGGGGTGGAGGCAAAGTAGGCTGGGCTGACCCCGGCGTTGTAGTTGTTCAAATCCGTGACTCCGGGCGCTTCTCCCCAGCTGGCCGTGTTCCCGTGGTTCTGCTCCGGCCCGGGTTGGTAAACGAGGCCGTAAGCGTATGCGTGGTAAGAGGGGTTATAGTTGTAGCTAATCTGCGGCTTCCAGTCGGCCATTTTTTCCGGCTTATCGATAACAATGTAAAAACCGCAACTAAAAAATAACCAAACAAATGTGAGTTTGGGGTTGAATCGCTTAAAATGCTGCAGGACGAACCCGTTCATCCACGGGGGCGATGCTAGGTCCTGTCCAGATAAAACAAGCGGGGTCAACTAACTTTGAAAATTGCGCCCATCCTCCAGAGGCTTGTTATAAAGACGTGTGTGGGTGTGGGCAGGTATGGAGGTAGGTGTTGGGATTGTTGGAGCCAATCCCTTTGACTCATCCTTCATTGAAGGCAGTGATGCCATTTCATTGGCCCACTAAATTGATTATTTGTTTTACATTTTTGGTTTGGGACATGGGCTCAAAGACAAACTAGTTTAGAAGAGTTTTAACCACTATTGAAGTAACCCTCTAAAATTACTTTTTATTTCAATGCTATATTTAAAGTTAAATGTCTCACTTGAGTTATAATGTACTGGAAGGATTATGAAGCCCCTCATTTATTGTGTGTTTTGTTTGGTTTTTAAATGCTTCACTCAGGCAACATGTGCTTGCATGATATGGAGTATAATCTCAAGGTTCCATATTGAAAAGTGTTTTTGTTTCAACATTTAAGAGCTTCCTAAAGATGCTTACACTATGCACACTCCTAATATAATAATTTGTATTTATCTAGCTAGATCTCTCTCAAAAGAATCCTGTTAATTGTGATCCTAATCCAGCATCTTTTAACAAGAGTTATGAGGCTCAGATTGTAAGAACTGGTGATCTTTTGTGTTTGTTTGAAGAGTTAATGATGAGATTTTGAGATACATCACTTACTAAAAAAGATAGAGCTAAATTGATACTCACTGATTAATACACTTAAAGCAAAATATGATATTTTTATGGCAGCTTTGGTATTTAAAACAAGCTTCACTGACTGCATGAATACATTGTGCTGCCAGAGATCTAGCTCAGCAGTATAGGACGGTTTTACAAAACATAAATGAGTTACATAAGAGGGCTATCCAAATAGTAAACAAACTTCACATGCATGCCTTTTCAGCACTAAAGCGTCAGTTTGCTTTAAACCATGGCCAAGTCTGTTGATTCCCCTAGTGGCTTCATTATGTGTTTTGGGACTTCTGTCAAAGATCAAGAGACTAAACGTAGTATCTGGGTCTCAACTATGAAGTTTATGAACCACACCACTTCTTAGTCAGCGTTTTGTTATAGATTGAGAAAAACTTCCAATTGAAGGCAGTGAAGCAGCTTACTAAGACATGTTGAACAGAATATTTAGCTTGAAAGAGATCTATGTGAGATTTTAAGTGTTTAAAAATATATTTAACTTTAATTTGTGCACTCTGAACATAAGAGTTTAAAGACAAATCACTGTTGCTTCAAATCCCAACATGCCCAAATTCTGTACGGTGGGTTGGCAATGTTGTTACAGAGTGTTTTACCTCCAAATGCAATCCCTTTCACAAAGATGATTTAGATTAGCTGCGTGTTACCATCCAAGGGTTTGTTGGTGTTCCCCCTCCTTGGCTGTATTGACGTGGTAATGATTCAGTTAGTGATGAATTGATGCGAGAACACTGAGCCTAATGGGCACATAAGCATTTTGACTGATCTCTGCCTGGACAAGGTGTGTTTTCTGATCTTGTACGATCCAAAGCTCCCAGGGGGGGGGGGTTGATGGTGTGTAGAGGGTGTGGGTGGAAAAAGAGTGTGCTTTGAATTAGCATTGGTATGTTGAGAGAGGACAATAGCTTAGCCTTGATGACCATGCTTATTGTAGCCAACTGTATTTGTAAAGTATGTTTGAGAGACACTGCTTTTCTAAAATAAACTGCAGTGTCTAAACATTTGAACATGAACATCTTCAAGATGTTCCTACTCTCCTGAAATACAACTATAACAGCAAACACTTAATACCTAGCTGTGTGCGGTACAAATAAAAACAGCTGAGTGTGATTTCTTGCTGTCCCAAGCTACAGTTTACATCATTACTTCTTCATTTTTTCTTTCTTGTATAGTGCAGATCAATCACTGGTGTTGTTGTTTCAGTACTTTACATTTTGGGTGTGATGTGCGAGACCACGAGAATCTCTTTTGTTGACTCAAATGTATGTAAATGACGTTTGGATACCCTCTTCCAGGTGCAAACACAAGTGACCTTTTATTGTCCTCCTTCAAGAAGTTCAATCAGTAATCTTGATTTGAGTTATATCAAAGTACTTTGAGGTCCTTAACCTCAGTTAAAGTAGGTATACCCTGCACAGAATAAAAACATGGTTACAAGTACGTCCTGTGCTAATAATTTGAAATATGCAAAAATATACAAGTATTTCAGACTCAATGTTACTAAATATCCAAAGTAAAAGTAATGGTATTGTCCAATTCAGTGTTATATTTTCATATCTGATGTGTGTAAGCATTAGCTTAATGTTGTAGGTGGTGAAATGTAAAACTTCTATACAACTCTAACCATGGTATTTTCATAGTTTGGCCTTTGAGCGTATGTTTCATATTAAAAAATGTGTAAAAACTAGCAATGGTATATTTACAAGTACTGTGAAGTGATATTTTGAACTACTCTTACCTAAATGTAGTTAGTTAATGCATCTTTAAACTTCTACTGCATACTTTTTTGCAGATTCAGATTACTAATACAACATCAAATCAACTGATACATGTTCATTTATTAATAAGGATCACACTTCCAGAAAGTAGATAAAATAATTAAAAAGACCTAAACATTAAAGTGAAACACTTTAATATTATTCTTAAAAAAGCAATTCTGCGAAATTAGTAGTTTCAGTTTTGGTACGTTAAGTATACATTAATACCAAAATGGTTTACTTTTAATTTTTTGATTTTAGGACTTATAGACCCACTGTTATAATGTACTACAGGGGTGGGTATTGCTACTTTAGTAAAATACCTGACTCTTCAAATACAAAGGAATAGTTCATATAGCTGGCTTATAAATGTAGTGGAATAAAAAGAATGACATTTTTCACTTGTAGTGCAGAAGAACTATAAAATAGTGTAGCAGTGTGCAATTACCTAAAAGTTGCAGAAGTATATTAGATGTACTTTTTCCCTTATCAGCATTGATTTAGATTTGTTGCACACGATTATTTTAGCAAAATATCTAATCCACAAATGATGCTTTCTCAAAATGTCTCAAGTAGCCTATTTAGTTTTCTGAAGGACATGATGGAACTATCTTCATTCCTGATTGATCACTTGTGGGGTTTTTTTTCATAATGCCCTCAGTTTGAATTCATTTAATAAACGCTGATGTGATTTGCGTTTTTTCTGATGTATTTCAAAATAAATTCTATATAGTTGAACAAAAGTATATATATATATAGGGTTAGCTGTACATGCCCTCCTCTCCGGTGGGGACGCTGTTAGTTTCTGCCTGCAGTCTCACTCACAGCAGCATGTCCCTTTAACACATCTCACATGGAGCTCCTGGCCGGTTCTGTCCCGCGTGCTGGCAGTTGAGCCCTAACGGACCAGCCTGAGCTAGGGACTCAATTCTGCCGGACTCGCCTTTTCGGCTTTGACAGCTCCACACGAATCCGACGTTTTCTCTAATTTAACCTTTACGGCAAATTTGACAGCTAACACACAGAGTTTATGTTTACATATTTAACAGCTGTAACGCACTTGGCAACTACACCGGGAAACTCTTTTATTCAACCCGGTTTATTATAAATATTTCTGTTAACGGTTTCAGCAGAAGTGATAGCTCTAAACCGTCAAGATGACAGAGGAACTTGAGCTAATTCTTTCGCAGCTGACACAGCCGGATAATGCTGTAATTCAGCAGGTAAAGTCACAGATAACTTTGTCCCTGTTAGCTTTAGCGTTATTAAGTTTGTTAAACGAAGGAAAAGTTGGGAAAACTAAGAGTAACGGTTTACTAACGGTTAACGAATTAAGCTAGCTAACGTCTGGTAACGTCCGGCCAACTGTCCAACAGTTGGTCATGATATTCAGCACCATTATGTTGATGTGCATTGTGACTGTGGCCCACTCTAACTTTATTTATAAAGAAACCAAAGGCTTGGGTTGTGTGTCATTTGGCAGCCAGTCTAACATGGTGAGACCTCTTTTGTACCCTTTTAGGCCACCGTCCAGCTGAAACAGGCTTTCAAAGACCCAGCCATTATTCCAGCCCTCTGTGCTGTCATGAGTGGCTCCCAAAACCCTCAGGTATTCTGTGGGTGTGGGTGTGATTTTGTTTGGGATAAGTAACATTTTCCGAATTATTTTGTCCAAGTCAAATGTTGAGTGAGTGTGCCATCTACTAGATAACATTTTCTTTAAATCAGTGGAAACCAATTAATAGAAAAAGTGCTTTTTACAATGGTGTCCTTCTGATACATAATACAAAATAAGTTATGCAATAAAAAGTGTGAACTCAACATTAGAATACATATACATTGAACACAACAGTAAAATACTTACATTTCACATGGACAAACTTATTAAGTAAAACAGGTCCATACATTATGTAAAATATCATTCAATAAAAGCTTCAACACTACTGAGGTAAACATTTCTCTTACTTAAGAGAGCTTATTCCATTTCCATGTTCATACATGGGCTTTTTTTTGTGCTAACAAGTATAGTATTCAATAAGTCTAGTTAGCGATGAACAATACAATTGTTAATTTTTAAGGATGGCTTTTGATGTTAAAGAGAGACCGCATTATTCTGTTCCGATGGTTCCTGATTACCACCGCACCTTCTCATAGTTAGAGCATATAACGATGAATTTTAAAATGTTCAGCTGTGATCCACCATTCGCAGCTTCCCTCATGACAGACAGGTGCAGGACTCATGGGACACCAAGCAATTTAGATTAGGTTCACTTATCTACAAATGTAACAGTTAATTGTACTCTTACAGTAGGACCTTCAACTGATTGTTAATCTGAAGTCTAATGTTTACATTTAAATAAGATATCTTTTTTTAATTGAAGCGTATACATTTTTCAACATGAGATTTGGAAGATCATTTCCCCCTGTGTGCTTTCACCTATGTAAACTAGATTCGTCAGTCAGCTGCAGTGATGCTGAGGTTGAGAGTGAAGAAACACTGGAAGAAGATTAACCCTAATGATAGAGAGAGGTTTGCTTTTTTGCCTTTTCATTGAAGACTTTCATAAAATTATGACACTAAACCATGTTGAATACAAGTTGTAATGTGATGTATTTCTTTATTCATGCAGCCTTAAGACAGTGGTGTTGCAGGCCTTCATGCAGGAAACCGAGTAAGCTATTCAGTTTATCTACTTTTCACTAAGTGTTTCTAGAGTTATAACCCACTCTTTCCTAAATGACACTGACTGAGGTATAGCAATGTGTATACCTGCACAGGTGAGATATATATATTAATGAGCCCTCACTCAATGTATCTTTATTTTGCAGGCACACAGTGCAGCACTCACTTTCCCAACTGTGCGCAATGATGGTTAAGCATGAGACACCAGATCGCTGGCCTGACCTGCTGCAGCTCCTAAACCAAGCCACCAAGAGCAGCAACCCTCATGATAGACAGGTACAGGCGTCATGGAACACCTAAACATTTAGATAAGGTTCAAATATCTACTTATTTAACACTAAACTGTATCTTAATGTTAGGGCTTAACATATCTGTGGCAAGTGATCTTTGTCCATATCAAATTGGGAATATCAACTGTCCTTTGTTCTAACAGGTTGGCCTCCTGCTGCTGAATAAGGTGATGGAGTCTAATCCTGAGCCTTTCAAGCCTCACTACTGCCAGCTGCTACAGCTGTTTACTGTTGTCCTGCAGGACCTCCAAAACCCAACAGCCCTGTACTACTGCATCCTCACCCTCACAGCCATAACTGCATACACTGGCACTGAAGAGATGGTGAGTCGGTCTTACACTTTGAATTATTGCATTTGGCAGGAACAATTCAAAAGCCTGAATAGCCTGTACAGGTGGGATAGATTTGTTGTTGACTGTTGTGCATTTTTCTTTCCGACAGAACCTCATGCGTTCTATCATCCCACACCTGATTGTTGCTCTGAAACACCTCATCAAGGCAGACCAGGTACATTTTCATCACAGACCTTTTATTTTTACAAGTAAAGCTGTTTTCTGATGCCTGTAGTATTTAATGCAGTGGTCGCCAACCAGTCGATCGCGAGTGTGGTGCGGGTAGATCGCGGACCGTTAAAAAAAGAGTAACAAAAGAAAGAAAAGTGCACCAGATTGATGCTTTCAACTTCAATATTTAAAAAAAAATCTTCCCGGGGGAGCATCCCCCCGGACCCCCCTAGAGGAGGTGAGGTCCGCCCCCCAATAGCACTTTACCCCTGCCTATATGCCGTGAGCTGCATTATAGAGCCTTCACTTGTAATTCAGATGCAATTAGCCTATAAAAAAGGCCTCAAATTGGAAGCATTGTCTGGGCCGTCTTTTTCACTCAATTCTGCAATAGGTAGATCTCGCCTTTCACCTCGGCCGAGGCCGGTGATCATGGGCTTAAAAAGGTTGGTGACCACTGATTTAATGGTATGGATAAATCAGGTCCCTTAATGATCGTGTTTATCTGTGTCTGCACAGAGCCAAGCCAGCGAGGCCATGGAGGTTTTCAACGAGCTCATGGAGAGCGAGGTGTCCATCATCGTCCCTCATATTGCTGACATTGTCCGCTTGTGCTTGGAGGTGGGAGCTGCTGAATGTCTGAATGATCTCTTACTTAATCTCAAACAAATATGTTTGAATATTTGAAATATGTTTGAAGGATTTTAATTATGATAACATATGTTAAATATCTGTTTTTTTGCCAGGTGGGCAGTGACACCACTCTGAACGACTCAGTGCGGGTGAAAGCACTGTCTTGTATTGCTTTCCTCATCAAGCTGAAGAGCAAGGTAACGTCACATGTCAGCGACTTTAAATAAATTACCTATATCTCTATTCTAGTCTTGATAAGATAAATGAATGTGGATAATTGATTGAGAGAATGCGCACGTCCCCACGTTTTATACTATTTTTTTTTCGGCTCATTATATGCAGTGACAGCTTGCGTGTCATAAACAACGTTTTTGTTTTGAATTATGAATACACATTACATTGGCTTAATAAAAACAATCCTTATTATTTCCTCTACTTTATAGACTGTGCTGAAGCAGAAGCTGCTGACCCCCATCCTGCAGGCCATTTTCCCTATTTTGATTGCAGCCCCCCCGCCTGGCGAGCAGGACCCAGAGGACCAGGAGGATGACAGCGGAGATGGAACAGACAATGACAATCCCAAGCATTGCTCTGCTCAGGTAGGGACACATCATGTGGATATCAAATGTGTTCTGTTGTGTAAGAACAATGACTTTTCAACAGCCCTCGTAGATTCACTGTTGAGCAATGAAGATTAAACCTATCTATTTCCTTGTATTTACAGATTATTGACACTATGGCCCTCCATATGCCCCCAGAGAAACTGTTTCAACAACTGGTAGGTCATGTGAATAAAGCTGTAAAGAATAACAGATATTTTACGTTCAGTTGAACATTTTAAAACTGCATTGAGCGTTTAAGTAACTTGCATTGAGTTAGAACCTTCACACTGTATTACGCTGTGTGTTGTGCTTTAGATGCCCATGACCCAGACCTGCCTGGCCAGTGAAAACCCCTACGAGAGGAAGGGGGGGCTGATGTGTCTCGCTGTGCTGGCTGAAGGATGTGCTGACCACATACGCACCAAGTAAGTCTGGTTCTCCATATACTCTTTATATTTTCAAATGAATGTGTTTTATTTGGACTGTTAGCTAAATAATACCAGGCGTGGGGATTTGAGTGTAATCACCGTTGGTCTGTATCCATGTTAGGATGCTGTCATCAGTGCTGCAGACGGTGTGCCAGAGTCTCTCTGACAGCAACCAGGTGGTGCGCAGTGCCAGCCTCTTTGCCCTGGGACAGTTCTCTGAGCATTTACAGGTGAGTTAGCACTCTGATGCTTTTCCTTTGCTCATGCTTGAGTGACAGCTCAGACCGTAGAGTACTAATCTATAGTATAATATCAAATCCCTTTATATTGACTCACTTTGATACAAAATACTCCTTACTTCGTATAGTTTAACAAGTGCACCATTATATTTCTAGTTCTACAGATACATTTGATATGATTGGAATACACTTTACACAGTTGTTCACTTTGTTTCCCCCTCTTCCCCACAGCCTGAAGTGAGCAAGTACTGTTCAGAGTTGATGCCGTTGCTGCTGGGCTACCTTTCCTCATTGAACCAGGCAAAGGTCGGCCATGTAACTAAGGCCTTTTATGCCCTTGAGAACTTCATGGAGAACCTAGGTAAGCTGAGGAAAAAGAGTGACACGGTACAAGTGGATCACTGCAAGAGGAAACATGAAACGCATAAACCTTTCAGACAGGATTTAATTAAAATCCAATGAACCAAAAAAACATGTTATGTGAAAATGTCATGATTAAGTATTCAAAAGGATCCACCATTTGAGTAGTAGCTAGAATCATCCAAATCTATCTATCACTGGGTCTACATGCTGTATCTGGGTCTACATGCTCTATCCATTTCTTCACGCTAACCAGGAGCAGATATTGAGCCCTACCTGCCCACCCTGATGGAAACCATGTTGTCTGCTCTTAACATCTCCAACAACTCTCCGTATCTTCTATATCACTCTGATTCTCCTCTACATCGAACATGTTGTCTGCCCTCTTTCATACTCCTATACATCTCGTGATGCAGCCTCACACAATCAGAATTGCTGTAAACCGCGCGTACGTCTCGCCTGCTATGCTCTTGCATATCCATCAACGATGTGTCATACACACTGCTATTCTTCAATCGGTCTTCTCACAATAACAGTGGTTTGTATTCCACACTCTTCTCATGTCTTTCTACATCAACATGGTGTCGCCCCTTCCTTCTGCCCATGTCCTCTTCTAGCATCACATGTGTCCGCCCGTCTTCTCCATGTCCTCTTTGCTACATCACATGTGTCCTCTTTCTTCGTGTCTCCTTCTAGGCATCAAGCCATGTGGTCCCCTCCTTCTTCAATGTCTCTTTCTACATCAGCCATGTGTCCGCCTTCTTCATGTCTCTTCTACCATCAACATGTGTCCCCTCTTCTCCATGTTTCTTCTACATCAACATTTGTCTCGTCTTCTCCCCATGGTGCTTGCTTGCTAGCATCAAACATGTGCCTCTCTTCTCCCATGTCTCTTTCATCAACACTGTGCTGCCTCCCCTTCTTCATGTTCTCTTCCTACATCCAACAGCGGTGCTCCCCTCCTTCTTCATGTCTCTTTCTAGCCATCAACACGTGTCCCGCTCTTCTTCATGTCTCTTCTACATCCAACACGTGTCCCCCTCTTCTTTCATGTACCCCCACCCTTCTACATCCAACATGTGTCCCCTCTTCTTGCATGTCTCACTTGCTACATCCAACATGTGTCCCCTCTTCTTCATGTCCTCTTCTACATCAACATGTGTCCCTCTTTCCTCATGTCTCTTCTACATCAACATGTGCCCCCTCTTCTCCGTGTCTCTTCTACATCAACATGTGTCCTCCTCCCTTCTTCGTTGTCTCTTCATACCATCAACATGTGTCCGCGCCATCCTTCTTGCATGTCTCTTCTAGGCCATCAACCATGCTGTCCCCTCTTCTCCCATGTCTGCTTCTACATTCACCATGTGTCCCCTCTTCTTCCATGTCTCTTCTACATCAAACATGTGTCCTGCTCCTTGCTTCATGTCTCTTCCTCATCACATGTGTCCTCTCTTCTTGCGTGTCTGCTTCAATAACATCAACATGTGTCCCCTCTATATCATATATATATATATATACATGTCTCTTCTACCATCACAATGTGTCCACACACATATCTTCATGTCTCTTCAATACCAATGTGTCCCCTTACCTTCTTCATGTGTCTTCTACACCACATGTGTCGCCCTCATGGAAAAGAGACTCTGGAAGTTATCAGGAAAAAAGATTCTCTCCTCTTTTTGTCCATTTCTTATAAAAACCTGTCTGAAATGAGCCTGATGCAGATCTTGGCCCTTGAGATGTCAACGATGTTTTGTCTTGTGTAATCCATTAGTCCAATGCAGGCAACCCAAGGTAACCCCACCCCCTGCCGCTCCTAGATGCCTCCCATTGAGTTCTTTGTAACCAAATGTCTATCAGAGGGGGGCCGTGGGGAGGGGCTCCTTTTTTTTTTCCATCTAAAGTAATAAGAGCAGAGAATCAGGCAGCTTTGGAAAAACGGCTGAAACAGAGGGGAATTATGGGTAATGGCTGCAATGATTCTGTTTGGTGTTTCAGCCAATCTAGAGACCGGCTCTTGCTATATATAGGTGACCTTCAAACAGACCTCAAAGCGACTCTCATGACGCTTGAGGGGCTGTAAATGCTTTTAGCAACTGTCGTATGAAATGTGTTGTGATCGTGCTGTAACTCTGCTGCTTGCCTCTCGCATTCTTGAACGAGGACTCTCTTCAAAAGATAGACTCTTATTCTCAATGAGACCTCCTCCCCTGGTTAAATAAAGGTAGAATAAAACAAACCTACAGTTAATTAGCCAAAAGTTCTGTAGTAAAGAGCGTTTTCTCCACAAGGGTAAAGAGGCGTTCCTGGAGACCTGGGAAGGAAGGAGACGAGGAGACCTGGGAGAGCAAAGGAGCCGACAGCCGGACCTCACGGTAACTCTAGACCTACTTCATTGGTTACTGAACGGAGAAGGGCTAAGGGTCTGA